TGTCGAGTAGTACGAGATCCCCCACTTTGTAAGTGACGTCGCGTCGCTGACGATCAGCTTATCGGCTTGCGACCAGGTTGACTTTCCGGATTGCCTCAGCTGTTTTTTCTCAGGCTGCGAGGTGTCTCGATGTTTGGTGTAGAGGGTACCACTAGGTCCTATCCGTAATCGAGGAAAAATGGGGATTGATGGGTTGTGGCGGAAGGCACGTTATTATACGTGAATTCCAGCAGTGGAAGGGATTTCTCCCATGTCAGTGGGTCAGTGTAGGTAGTCCGAATGAGTTGCTCCATTGTTTGGTTGACTCGTTCCGTCTGCCCATCAGTCTGTGGGTGGTAGGCGAAGGAAAACTGTAGCTTGGTGCCGAACTGGTTCCACAGGTGACGCCATGAATTCGATGTGAATTTCGGGTCTCGGTCTGAAATATTTGCGGTGGGCAGTCCGTGCAGTCTGATAATGTTGGCGATGAACAATTGGGCAGTTTTCTCGAGTGTAATTTTCTGTTGGCAGGCAATGAAGTGCGCCATTTTCGTGAGTCGGTCAACGACCACGAGGATGGCGTCGTCTCCGCTAGGACCGGCCGGCAGTCTTGTCACGTAGTCCATCGTGACGCGTTGCCAGGGTCTCTCGGGCGGATCCAACGGCTGTAGGAGTCCGACTGCTCGCTGATGGGATGATTTCATGATTTGACAGGTGGTGCCGGAGGACACGTACTTGCGCACGTCATCGGCCATGTTCGGCCAGCAATAATTGCACTGCAACGTCTTCATGGTTTTGTCGACTCCGAAATGCCCGGAGGTAGGATTGTCGTGGGATTCCTGGATTAGAAGGGTACGAAGTATATTTTAGCCGGGAACCCAGATGCGGGAAGTGTCGCACTTATTCAAATAGTGTACGTTAGCGGTGGTATGATATTGGTGAATGGCGGAGCGGAAGAAGGGGTCGATCTTGTAGCCATGGGTAAATAGTCCGGTAAGGAGTGGGCTGGTCTGGACGACTATTATGGCAGCTCTATGGGCAGTGGGTCGGGTCAGGGCATCAGCAATGTTGTTGGCACCCCGCTTGTCAGGTGATGGTGTAGTGGAAGTTTGACTCGAGGAAATCGAGCCATCGGATTTGTCGCGGGTTGAGATCCGGCTGGGCTCGCAGGTACTGGAGGGATTTGTGGTCGGTTCGCACAGTGACGTCAGCGCCGGTCAGGTAGCTGTTGGTGCAACCCTATGGCTTGCACTCGGCTTGTCGTCCTTGTTTGTGTGTGTGCATGCATGGCATGGAATGAATTGTGAGTCTATGTCATTGCTATCCAGTGCTTGTGTGTGTGTTTGAATGGTGTATCACAATGTGGTTTGTGTCGGTCAAGACATTAGCGAGTTTTTACAACTCGCATGTCAAGTCGTCGTTTGTGTGTCGCATGTGTTTTTTCTATTTTGTCGAGTGTGAAGTGTCCATCGTGTCGCAGGTGTGTGCAGCAAGCCCCCATCAACTCAAGAAGAATTTATCTTGCAGATCCAAGAACAAGAGCTCAAGATTTCAAGCCCAAGGGACGCGGATAAATATTAAATAGTGAAAATAGTAACGTTACTTCGGGTAGTGTTACATTTCACTTGGTGTAGCCCCTTGGAGGGTTGGTTTCGAGACTCTTCATGGTTGGGGACTCTGTGGTGGTGTACCACCAACCTGGACCTCGGCTCTTGGGGTATGTAGAGGCTGGGAACCATCTCCCTCTCGAACTCTTCTTGCTAAGTTTGTACTCCTAAGACTATTGTGGCTGCTATACCTCCTGCCAGTCAAACCGCCATAGCGTCGTCAAATCTTCATGAAATTTCATGATTCAACTTGCTGCTGATAGACGACAGCAACGCGCTTCAGATCGAATTTACAGATTACCGTTTGATTCAGTCACCAGATCGTTATCAATATTTGAAGCCGTCTGACGGAAATCCGACTGTGCTCTCTATCTCTCATTATAGGCACATCTAAGCCTATTGTGATTATAACAAGTGGTATCAGAGCCCCTTGGAGCCGTCTCGACAATGCCTAGACCTGAGGAAGGGGGTGGCAGAGGTGTTGGAGGCAGAGAAGACGCCCAAGCACAAGGTCAACACCAAGATCCACCCGTTGCTCCGGTGCAACCTAGCCTTGGACCCTCTAGGGATGAGCCTAGAGTGTTTGGCCTTGACAAGTTCAACGGTGATAACTTTGCTGAGTGGTCCTTCAAGATGGAGAACATCTTTGACCATTATGATCTGCTGGAGGTGATGGAAGGAACGGAGAAGCGCCCCGAGAACGACCCGGAGAAGAGCCCGTGGGTGCGGAAGAGCGCACAAGGCTACCTTCTACCTGGGCAAGCGTTGGGGAGCAGCCAAATCCGTCACATCAAGCCTTTTCAGCGTGAACCAGCAAAGGGACTAAAGGCATGGGCTGCTCTCAAGGGTGTACACGCTCCTGCAACAGCGGCGGTGGCTGTGGTTTTGGAGCGGCAAATGGCGGCACTTCGAATTGACGAGTGCAGAAATTCTTCGACTTATTGACACGGCTCGAAGGAGCTGAGCTGAACTACAGTGACCTTCAAAAGAAGACCAAGCTGCTGGCCTTGCTTTCGGACTCATGGTCCTCGCTCATCATCAACCTAAATCGAGATCTGCCCCGTCTCTCACTCGAAGATGTGAAGCGGGAAATCTTACAAGAAGATTTCCGCCGACGTGAATTGGCGGGTCCCGATGGTGCTGGAGTTGCAAGCATGGGCCGTGGGCACGGCCGTGGAAGGGGCAGAGGGCGAGGAGGAAGATTTGGCAGCAGTAACTTCAGTGGAGGCCGTGGTAATGGAGGATATGGCAGCAACAACAACAACAATGGCTACGGGCGTGGGCGCGGTCGATTTGATGGCGAATGCCACTTTTGTCACAAGACCGGCCACATGTGGAGAGATTGCTTCAGATTGCCTGATGGATGGACCCCTTCTCAGGGCCAAGAGGGCAGAGGAGCAAGGGGAGGAAGAGGCAGAGGTCGTGGAGGCCGTGGTGGCCGTGGAGGCGAAGCGGCAAGCATGAAAGGTGGAGACTACGACAAGGACTCGAGTGAAGATCGATACCCGGGCCAATTCTTCTTTGTCTCCACGCAAGCGGCAGCTGCAGCAGGAGGTGTGGAAGGCTTTGAGGAGCCAGCTACTGTGGGAAAGGTCACCCTTCACTCTCCGGACTTTTGGGTGATCGATAGCGGCGCCACCTATAGCATGACACCTCGTGTGGACTTGCTCACCGAACTCGAACCGTCGCCGGTCAAGCATGTTACATCGGCTTTGGGGCAGCGAGCAGAGGTGAAAGGCATGGGCAAGGCCATGTTCAAGGGTGCTGATGGGAAGATGGTGGGTCTCAAGAACGTGCTTTGGGTGCCCAACCTAGCAGCCAACCTGATCTCTGTTCGGCGTTTGCAAAAGGCCGGCATGGACACATCTTCCAAGGGTTCCAAAACCTATACCGCGAGGCTTGGTGAGCGGAAGCTTTGGGACCTTCATGAGGACAGGGACATCTACAATGAGATGTGGCAAATCCCAGTGGTCCCCATGCCTAAGGGGAGGCAAGTGGCAGCAAGCATCAGCACCAAGAGTGAAGCGGTTGGTGGCGGTGATCATGGAAAACAAAGTGACACCAAGAGTGACTCGAAGGAGTGCAACCTTGGAGAGACCAGCAAGGCGTGTGAACCCAAGGAGAGTGGTGCAGCAGCCAAAGGTGGTGGAAATGAGGAGGAGAAGCCTAAGATCAGCAAAGCAGCAGCGGCAAAGGAGAAAGGAGAGAGCTTGTGGGGCACGATTGCGAGTGCCGCTTTCTCCAACCCGACTTCGGCTACGGGAGAGTGTCATTGGCTGACCTTGCATCGGCGAATGGGGCATGTGGCATTGCCCATTTTGCAGCAGATTGTTAAGCAAGAGATGGTCAGTGGGATACGTGTCAAGGGGGAGCCCAATGAGGTGCTTGGCTGTCCAACATGCATGCAAGCCAAGTTCACCCGCTACCCGTTCCATAGCTCGGAGACAACGGCGAAGGCACCACTTGATGAGGTGGTGATGGATGTGGTGGGCCCCTTGAAGCTTGGAGCTGCTGGAGCTGAGTACTTCCTCACCATTGTGGACGTCTACACTCGCATGACTTGGGTGTATGTGCTGCCCAAGAAGAGTGATGTAGCTGAAACGGTGAAGACCGATTGGTTGCCGATGGTGGAGCGGCAACAAGACCGGCTTGTGAAGGCAATTCGCATTGACCGTGGGGGAGAGTTCCTGAGCAAGGATTTCTCAACTTGGCTGAAGAAGCAGGGCATAAGGCACTCTCTTACCATGCCCTACTCTCCTGCAATGAACGGCATCGCCGAGCGTGCGAATCGGACACTCACGGAGACGGCTCGGGGACTTCTCATTGAAGCCGGTCTACCCAATTATTTTTGGCCGGATGCGGTGCGACATGCTTGTGTGGCCAAGAACAGAGCCTTGACTCACGTGGGAGAAGACAAATGGGTGCCCTATGTGGAGTGGATTGGAAGGAAGCCGAAGGTGGATATGCTTCGGGTGTTCGGGTGCATGTGCATGGCACTTGTGCCTAAGAAACTTCGGCACAACAAGCTTGATGCCAAGGCAACATGGGCCGTGCACCTGGGCATGGCTCAAAACAGCAAGGGATGGCTTCTTTGGGACCCATTTACCAAGAAGTTCCTGGTGAGCAGAGATTGCAAGTTCATGGAGAACTTACCGTACAAGGAGTGGAAGGCGGAGAACCAAGCGAAGATTGGTGTGCGGCTTGGAGAGGTGAAGAGTAACGGCTTGGAGCATGTGGAGCTGCCCTTGGAGCTGAGTAGCAGCAGCACAGTCACGAGGCAATCTCCTCAAATGAATGGGGATGAGGAGGAGGAGGAGGTGCAGCAAGGTGATGAGCGTGCACCGCCACTTCCGCCTCGTGCTACAAGTGCTCGCGGGAACCGACCGGATTTACCGCAACGCCATGAGAGCATTCAAGTCCCTGCAGCAGAGGAGGAAGGAAGGGGGAGAAGGAGGACTCAGCCCCCCAATAGGTTGAGCTATGACCGGCTTGGAGGACTAGCCAACTCAACCTTGACCGGTTCGGCTCTCATGCTAGGCGATGATGCGGAAGATGAAAGCGAGGAGTGCGCTTTTGCCTTCTTCTCTCCGGTGGAGATGCCGGGGGAGCCTACAAATCCCAAGGAAGCTTGGGAGGGCCCCAATGGGAAGGAGTGGAAGAAGGCCTCAGATGAAGAAATGGGGAGCATCATAGAGAACGACACATTTGACTTGGAGAATCTACCTCCGGGGCGGAAGGCGATCTCTTCCAAGTGGCTCTTCAAGCGCAAGACCGACGCCGACGGCAACATCGAGCGCTACAAGAGCAGACTTGTAGCCAAGGGGTATCAGCAGCAAGAGAAGAAGGACTACAATGAAGTGTATGCCCCTGTGGTGAAGGGTACAACCCTTCGAACCCTCTTCGCCGCGGCGGCCATCAAAGGATGGGTGGTGAAGCAAATGGACATCGTAACGGCCTTCCTCAACGGCGTTTTGGAGGAAGAGACCTATATGGAGCAGCCAGAGGGGTACAATGATGGGAGTGGCAGAGTGTGGAAGCTGAAGAAAGCACTCTATGGCCTCAAGCAAGCCCCTAGGCAATGGTACATCAAGCTGCGGGAAGTCTTGGAGGCGATCGGCTTCACTCCCTCAACGGCCGATCAATCCTTGTTCATGCTTGGCGAGGGGGAGCAGAGGAGCTTCATAGTGGTTTATATGGATGACATCCTCATATTCTCACCCTCCTCTGACCTTGTGAAGGAGGTGATGCTGAAGCTTCAAGACAAGTTCAAGTGCAAGACCCTTGGTGACGTCAACTACTACCTTGGGCTTCACATTGAGCGAGATGTGGAGAAGCGGTGGATGCGAGTGCATCAAAAGAAGTACTTGGAGACCTTGGCTGCAAGCTTTGGGAAGAGTGAAGGTCATGTGGCTACTCCTCTTCCCTCAGGGTTCAAGTGTGTGAAAGGACCAGCGGAGGAAAGTGTTGGTGACGAGGAGAGGCGGCGTTTTCACTCCTTGGTGGGCAGCCTCATGTATGCGGCCGTTCACACAAGGCCGGATGCAGCCTTTGCTACCGGGCAGCTGGCTAGGGTTGTCCAATGCCCTAATGAAGAGCAGGTAGCAGCTGGAGAGAGGGTGGCCAAGTACCTTGGCCAAACAGCAACTGTTGGACTGCAATACTCCGCGGCGGCACAAAGGCGTCAAAAGGGTGCGGATGGAGTCGAACCCGGGAGGCTCTTTCTCACCGCCTTCTCTGATGCATCTTGGGCATCAGAACCAGAGGACATGACAAGTGTGGGAGGCTTCATCTGCTGTGTTGGTGGAGGGCCAACAGCTTGGGAGAGCAAGAAGCAAGTGGACCAAGCATTGAGCTCGGTGGAGTCCGAGTACATGGCACTCTTCCGTGCCATAAGAGAGGTTGTGTGGCAGCGGCGTTTGCTAGCTGAATTGGGGGAGGAGCAGCAAGGACCTACCCCACTCTACTGTGATAGCCAGGGTGCTATTGCATTGGCTAAGAACCCCATTCTTCATGGCCTTACCAAGCACATGAAGGTGAAGTGGCATTGGGTGAGGAGCATGGCAACCGCGGGTGAAGTGAAGTTGCACTACGTGAAGACGACGGCGCAACCAGCTGATATGATGACCAAGAGGCCAGTTGAGCAGCAGCATTGGAAGTGTTGCAAGCTTGCGGGGATGGCTCTGAACTAAGGGGAGCAGATTCTAAGGCCAACAATCCGAGGGGGAGTTTGTTGGTGCAACCCTATGGCTTGCACTCGGCTTGTCGTCCTTGTTTGTGTGAGTGCATGCATGGCATGGAATGAATTGTGAGTCTATGTCATTGCTATCCAGTGCTTGTGTGTGTGTTTGAATGGTGTATCACAATGTGGTTTGTGTCGGTCAAGACATTAGCGAGTTTTTACAACTCGCATGTCAAGTCGTCGTTTGTGTGTCGCATGTGTTTTTTCTATTTTGTCGAGTGTGAGGTGTCCATCATGTCGCAGGTGTGTGCAGCAAGCCCCCATCAACTCAAGAAGAATTTATCTTGCAGATCCAAGAACAAGAGCTCAAGATTTCAAGCTCAAGGAACGCGGATAAATATTAAATAGTGAAAATAGTAACGTTACTTCGGGTAGTGTTACATTTCACTTGGTGTAGCCCCTTGGAGGGTTGGTTTCGAGACTCTTCATGGTTAGGGACTCTGTGGTGGTGTACCACCAACCTGGACCTCGGCTCTTGGGGTATGTAGAGGCTGGGAACCATCTCCCTCTCGAACTCTTCTTGCTAAGTTTGTACTCCTAAGACTATTGTGGCTGCTATACCTCCTGCCAGTCAAACTGCCATAGCGTCGTCAAATCTTCATGGAATCTCATGATTCAACTTGCTGCTGATAGACGACAGCAACGCGCTTCAGATCCAATTTACAGATTACCGTTTGATTCAGTCACCAGATCGTTATCAATATTTGAAGCCGTCTGACGGAAATCCGACTGTGCTCTCTATCTCTCATTATAGGCACATCTAAGCCTATTGTGATTATAACAGTAGCACCGCCAGGTCTTGAACGCGTGGACGATCACCAACCTTTCCTTGTCGTGTACCGTGTAATTTTTATATGCGCCTTGCAGCTTCCGTGATTCGTCGGTGACGGGATGTAATCCTTCACCGACATCCTGTAGAAGAACTGCGCCAGTGGCGATGTCGCTAGCATCGGTGATGACTTCGTATGGACGGTCAGGATCGGCGATGCGAAGGACGGGTGGTGACGTGAGCACGCTCTTCAGTTGGTCAAATGCAGCTTGCTGCTTCTCTCCCAAAAAAAATCAATCGTGATCCTTGAGTCGGTCAGTTAGCGGGGCAGATAACCCAGCCGTAACCTGCGGACGTAATTGACGAAACCCAAAAAACTCTGCAGCTCCTTGATGTTGCTTGGCGGCTTCCATTCCTGTATGGTCTTGATTTTCTTGGGGTCGATTTTCACTCCTTCAGTAGAGACGATGTGGCACAGAAACTCCGACTCCTGCTTAAGAAAGCCTCACTTAGACCCTTTGGTGATGAGGCGATTCTTGTGCAGCGGCGTGAAGCCCGCATCAAGATCCTGGAAGTGCTGCTCCCTGCTGCGGATGTAGATAAGTATATTGTCGAGGTAGATGATGACGCATTTGTTCAAGAGTTCCCTGAAAATTCCTTTCATGGTCATTTGGAAGGTCGAGGGCGCGTTCGTGAGGCCAAAATGCATCACCAGGTACTCGTAGCTACCATAGCGGGTTCAAAATGCCGTCTTGTGACAATCTTCGGTGGCGACGCGAATCTGATGGTAACCTCATCGCAAGTCGATTTTCAAGAAAAACTTGGCGTCGCGAAGTTGGTCGAGAAGTTCGTCGGCTCGCGGGATCGGGTAGCGCGACTTGATGGTGATCACGTTGAGCGCGCGGTAGACGATAAACATTATGAATCCTCCATCCTTCTTCGACGTGAACAGTATCGGGGCGGCGTATGGGGACGTGCAGGGCCGGATAAATCCTTTCCTAAGAAGGTAATCCAACTGATGCTGTAATTCTTCTAGTTCTTGTTGGCTAAGACGAAATTGGCACTGTACCGTCGGTTCGGCGCCTGGTTCCGGCTCGATTCGGTGGTCCTCAGGTCAGCTCGGCGGGAGTCCAGCTGGCAGATCGTCCGGGAAAATCTCAGGGTATTTCCGAATCAGGTCCGCTAATAACGGAGGGATGGCCTTGCATAGCTTCTCGATATCTTCGGTCTCAACCGTCGATGTCACCCCGCGAAGATCAACTGCGTACGCTGCAGCTCCAGCTTTCATCGCGCATTTGAAAGTGATCGCGTGGACTTGGGTGCTTCGCATGTGAGGCCCCGTCCACTTGGGAAGCTCGTGGGAAATCCCATCGAGCTTGATGCTGCAGCCGCCCGTCGTCCAGTCAATCTTCGGGTTGTACCATCACAACCAATCACGTCCCAGGAGCACGTCGCATCAGTCGAGAGTAGTCGCCAGTAGTCCCATCCGAAAATTCACATGCTCCCCACAGGTAAAACCAACGTTCTCCACCTGTTCTCGTATTGCCAGTGGTGTTCCATCCACCAGTCGAGCGTCGATTTGAGGTAGACACTTGAGTAAGAGTATACCCAATTTTTTAGCCCTGTCCAGTTGTATGAGACCGTGACTCGCGCCTCCATCAACGAAGATCTTCAATAACACCCCGTTGACTTTACCCTCCACGAACACAGTGTGATCAGTAGTTTCGTCCCTCTTATTCGTTCGGGTCCGGTCGATTGCAGCAATCGGGATCACGACCCGGTGGGGACTGAGTGGCTCGCGCGAAGAAGCCTAGCCGTCAGTAAGGGGTCCAGTACTTATTGACATGACCCATTTCCCGATCGCTCCTCCGTCTTCTTCCCCATATAATTCTGGAGGGCTATGAATTCTTGATAGTTGGGTCGGATTGACCCGGCCGGTCACAGTGGTAGCATAGCCCCGTATTTTGCAGAGCAACAGCGTAAATATCCACTGTATCCACCCCTTTTATCGTGGCGCGCTGGTACTGTTCTTGAGGGTGACCTCCGTCGTAGAAGTTCGTCCTCGGCTTCGTGATCGAATCCGCGGCTTTCTCTCCGTCATTCTCCACCTCTGTTGCTATCTTTGGGTAATCCGAGCAACGGCTGCCCCTCGTGCTCGAGGTCATCTGCAAAGGACGATGCCTCCAAGCACTCGTGGACAGCGGAGCATCGCACACCGTATGCGACAAGGCAACCATCGACCGACTTCGAGAAGAGTACAAGCCATCAGTGTTTTCTGCAACGATAATGGATGGCAGCACGTTACCCGTGTACGGCGAAGCAGTGCTACACCTACAAATCGGTCCACTTTGCTGGAAACCAGCTCTCCCAATCACCAACATAAATGGGCTTGACCTGATCTTCGGGCGAGACTTCCTCAAGAAATTCAACCTCGAGATCAATTGGGTAAACCACACCGCAAGCATCTACAACAAAGGAAGGAGAGTCCAGCTACCCAACTGGGATGATACAGGAGATATCCCAGTGGAGAAGCTTGCCAGATTCGAGAAGGACGTGAAACGAACCAACACCGGGTTCCTGGCGATAGCAACAGAGGTGGAGAATGACGGAGAGAAAGCCTCGGAACCTCCAGAAAAAATCAAGGACTTACTGAAGGAGTTCCAAGATATTCTTCCCGACGACCTCACGGACGAGCTACCGCCATACCGAACGCACCAACACGAGATCGTGGAGGAACCAGGTTCGAAGCCGACCTTCCGAGCACCATATCGGCTAAGCCCCACATGTCACAGGATCGAATGTGTCAAGGAAAGGTTGCACTATCGATTGGTACAAGGTGCTTCTATACTTCCATAGTACATCAGGTAACCAGGTTTATCTTATCCCAAGGGAATAAACCCTTCTAGAATATAGAATCACCCTGCGTATAGCCACGCGAGGCTATTGGCTTTAAGGGATAACGGCAGGATTACGGTAGATATAGCGCACCAGTACATCCCAAGCCTGGTCGGTGATATAATGAAAACAACAGGATAAACCAAAGGATAATGGAAAAGGAGAAATAGGAACCCAAATGGAATGAGATAAAAAGAGGAATGAAATGGAAAGGGAATATGGAAAGGAGAAGAGAATGGAATGGGGTCGTACTCTCACACCACAGAACTAGCCGACATGAAAAAGCAGATCGAGTATCTCCTCGCCAAAGGACTCATCCGACCATCCGCTTCGCCATACGTTGCCCCAGTACTCTTCTCACCGAAACCGGACGGAAGCCTGCGCATGCGCATCGACTACCGAGCTCTCAACAAGCAGACCATCAAGAGCAAGTACCCGATTCCACGAATCGATGACCTGCTTGACCAGCTTCGGGGAGCCACGGTATTTTCAAAACTAGATCTGCGGTCCGGATACTAGCAGATAAGGATGGCGGACGATTCCTAACACAAAACAGCTTTCCGAACTCGTTACGAATCGTACGAGTATCTGATGATGCCGTTCGGACTCACCAACGCACCTGCAATGTTCCAAGCAGAAATGAACCATATCCTATGCCCATTCTTGGACGAATGCGTGGTGGTGTACCTGGACGACATTCTCGTCTACTCGCGCGACATGCAACAACACGTCGAACACTTACGACGCGTCTTCGAGATTCTTCAACGAGAACGCTTCTACGTTAAACTATTCAAGAGCGACTTTGCCCTCGAGAAAATCCAATTCCTCTGACATATCGTAAGCGCTCAAGGAGTTCACGTCGACCCCAAGAAAATCAAAGCCTTGCGTACGTGGAAGACACCCGAGAACGTGAAGGAGTTATAGCAGTTCATTGGCTTCGCTAACTATTACAACAGGTTCGTGCCGCAATACGCGAAAATTGCCGCGCCACTCACGAATCTGCTGAAGAAGAACACGCCCTATAAATGGGAGCCGAAACACCAGGAACCCGTGGAGCAGCTGAAACAAGCACTCACGGTCTGGATCCTGGCAGATACGAATGGCGGACGAGTTTGTTCACAAAACTGCTTTCCGAACTCGGTACGGATCGTACGAGTATCTGGTAATGTTGTTCGGACTCACCAACGCACCTGCAACGTTCCAAGCAGAGATGAATCATATCCTACGGCCACTCTTGGACGAATGCGTGGTGGTGTACCTGGACGACATCCTCGTCTACTCGCACGACATGCAACAACACGTCGAGCACCTACGACGCGTCTTCGAAATTCTTCGACGAGAACTCTTCTACGTCAAACTATCCAAGAGCGACTTCGCCCTCGAGAAAGTCCAATTCCTTGGACATATCGTAAGT